GCTCCGCGGTAGGCACTGCCCGGAGCTATTATTTACATCTGTTAATAGGGAAGGTCCTTTGAAATCCAATGAAAAAGATTTCTTTCTAATCTTCATTTCCCTTAACCCTTTCGTACCTTTATGTTCTTCAAAATCAGGCATACTTCTAAAAGCTGCCTAATTGTGGCAGCAGTTTTTAACCATTCTGCAATGCAGCGTCATTTCCCAGAACCTGACAGTCCATAACACACGCGCGCGTACAAATAGGTACTGATGACACGCGGGACTCGAATCGCCTTCGTTAGAAAATTCACCACTTTCTCCGTCGACGTCCACAATTTACGCAAATCTCGTCTCGTTTCGAAATACGCAGATTTAATGAGACCCTTGGAAGACCTCCCATGGACAAGCGCCCTCTGGCAGACGAGGTAATTGTATTGTCACGAGCTTCAATAATTCCCTATGCTTCAAATCGTAATACGCCGTATTACCGGTTGGGAACAAAATTGCACTCTCCAATGTGGCGTGTACAACGCGGTGAGAGTTTGTTCAGTTTATCTTGACGGCGTGAAGTGAACCGAGCCGATGAAATCATCTCGCGTCTCAATGACATTGCTTATGTAAGAAGCGACACCTGCCTCTCCGCCTAGCAAGGCTGGCGGGAATTAAGCAGTGCGACGCGAACATGATCTGAAGCTTTCACGGCGTATAAGAAATTCTTCTCGGGGCTACCGGCCGTGTGAGGTGGCTTAATGAAAAAACACCAACGGTTCGAGGGTTTCCCAGGGTACTGTATTGACGCGAACAACTGTAACTAATCTGTCTGTAAACTGACATAAAATTTTAACTTTCCCACGTTTAGCCCCCTTAATACACGTCTAATGCAAAGATTCTTGAATGAAAATATTAACTGAAATACAGATCAAGTTCTCACATTTCATTTAGACTTTTTTATTAGTGTTCTGTCTGAGGAGAGGTCCATATGAACAGGATCCTTCCATCCTTTTCTCGGACTGGGACCTGTTCATATACGTTCTTGGCAGATGATCCAGAAGTGGTTTGCCATTGCCTTCTTCTGTGTGTGAATGGAGTAATTGGTGGGATGCCACGGAGCAAAACTCCGTGTTGCCTAGACCACGGCCTCGCCCAACACAAGTTATAAATCCGGGCACCGCCGGGAAACGAAGTGGGTACCCGGGGTTAAAGCGCCAGGAGCTATGCAACTCCTGGTGACAAGTTTGTTTTGTTTACACCGTCTGAGAAGCGTCGAAGGAAAAACTAAAATGCGATGAGTCAGGAAGAGTGAAATGGTCATGAAGGGACTGACATCTCTATCAAAATATAAAACATTTACGATCGAGGACAAAAAACACGGGGAACATTGCGAACCTGACCTCAAATTCTCAATGACAAATGTATATTTAGGCAAGTAAATTCATCTACTCCGGGAACAACCCTCGCTGTTTGTTAGTCGTTGACCCTTGCTGCATGACAAGGCACGCATAATTTAGACTATGAAGAAATTTTATAAATGCATTACCGTTCAACGCGAAAGCCACTTTCCCTTCGAATTTTCGGGACAGACGCCATTGCTGGTCAGAGCCTCACAAGTATCGGCAGAGCCCGGGACTGTGAACGCGAAACAGTGCAAATGGACACACGGGCCCTCCAAAAAGCTGAATCAAAAACCTGTGGCCAGGAAACGTCTTTCCGAGGTCTCTTTCCGGGTCCAATAACACAACACACTTAAGAAGAAAGTAGTCCATCGCTGGGCAGTAGCATTTCCGCAAACGTCTATTTTTGGACGGCACCGCTAACTTCTAAAAGCGTTAGAAACAGAACAGAGGGTGCACGGGGGAGTCAATTAGTGTTTTACGCCTTATTTACTTACGTCTAATGGTACACAATCAGCAGGCCACACGCGTTCTAAAAAAAACCCAGAAGTAGTTCTCTCAAAATACTCTTGACTCTGGCACAGACTAGTATAAGAACCCCTTCGACTCTACACGTGCGTACTGTACGGCTCGGCGAAAGCTTTTATGATTTGTATCGAGTGAGATGTGCTCTTATACCTCACTCCTGATTGGCTAAATACGTCTCTCTGGTCATCTTCGTCCGGGTGGATCATTTAAAAGATAAACCTGGTAGCAGCTACAAACCAGGCCAAGACGACAAACACATCCAATAAGTCTACGAGCAGCTAAAGCAGGATGGAAAAGGTCATTGGCCCTCGCGGGAGTATTTCGTCTTCACGTTCCGCATAAAGGACGTTATTCCTACATCTATTACAGGTTCATTATAATTTATGAAACATCCAGAAAATGTGATTTTTTCCTAGTCTCAACATTTTTGTAGGGACGTTACACTTTTTCCTCGCTGTCCGATCGAGGACATTCTCACCTGTTCGCGTATTCGTCATCTGTTACCTATCGAAGTCAAAGTTCTCTCTGTAATGAATTAATATGAGGCGAACAGCGCTCAGACGTCGTACTGACACGTAATACTACGAAGCACTTCACTGATGACGTAATCATTAACGTGCAGTATCATCTAGCTTCGGGAGCAAACAAAACATACAAATTCAAACACCAGAACCCACCTGAAGACAATAACAGCCACTTCCTTTCCTGATATCGAAAAAATGAATCGCGGGCGATGATTTAACCCCGAAGCTGACGACGGCACATTCTGGACTGCTGATCGGCTCGCTATAAATCGCTACGTTTTCCACCACTGCCAATGTTATACTCTCGATTACCGGCTTATCTTCTAACACGCATTAGAGATAAGAGAAATTTTAAGATCTACGTGAGGCTTCATCTCGTAATATGCTCCAGTGCGTCGCCAGTCCAGTATAACACAACAGCGTAATTTTGTTAAAATACCTTAGCCTTGCGGTACGACTAAGATTCGCGAGTCATTCATCGTCTAAAGTCAGAACTTTTGATTCGGTGTATCTACATAAATGGATTAAACAACAGAAAGATTATGTTTCGGGAGCGTGTTGCCAATGCTTTTGAGAAGAAAGTCAGACGATGTATGTTTACAGGCTTCATTCATAAATATTACAATTAGTAAGTAAAGTTATCCCGCTTTCGGGAGGGGGAGACTGGAACAATCTTTTCCTCCTTTACACTTGTCGGGGATCGAAACTCGGTCGTCCAGTCCGCAGTCAGACTCTACACCGACTAAGCCAGTGGCATTCAACCTTTTTTGTTCGCGTACCCCAGATATAATTTCTCTTCAAAGTTGTTGGTGTATAATTCAAGTTATACGTAGTATATAATCTACATCTAAAATAAATTAAATAAATTACATTACTGATTATTCAGTGTTTATCATAAAATAATTTTTTTTTTAAATTTCACGTACCCCCTAAGATGTCTTCGCGTGCCCCCAGATATAATTTCTCTTCAACTTTGTACCCCCAGAGTTGTTGGTGCATAATTCAAGTTATACGTAGTATATAATCTACATCTAAAATAAATTAAATAAATTGCATTACTGATAATTCAGTGTTCATCATAAAATAATATTATTTTTTTTAAATCTCACGTACCCCCGGGGGTACACGTACCCCAGGTTGAAACCACTATCGAAGCTCTATTCATATTGGCTGAAGAAAAATTTAACAACTTGTGCATATTTATGTAGGGTTTGAAGGTTTTCACGGCGGTGATTCGGAAGACGTGTGGTCTGGTATTAGTTTACCGACGTTTCAGAGTACCTTGCTGCCTCCATCATCCAGTTCGCCCTGATGATGGAGGCAGGCACCTACCTAAAAAAAAAGAGTGAATTCCCGGCGACTCGACACCGCATAACTTGGGTGAACACGTGATCGCAACATTCAGGTACTCGCCATTTTGAGTGTTTCCTCAGGCCGCAGGAGGTAGAACATGGACTGGAGGTGCTGCTGGATGTCAGAGCCACTCGCGCTAACACGTCGGCTGTGGCGTCCACCGTTACTGCCGACGCTGTTGGCAGAGGGATACAGTCGCTCGTTAGGTGGAAGCACCAGCGCGGCGCCCTTGCCAGCGAAGTAACACTCGCTGAGACTGCGAACAAAAAGACGTCATTCGTCTTACTTCACACCGAACATCGAAACCTTAAAATGACTCTCCCGTCATCTGTTTCCGCCTTTGCTGGCACTGATTCAGCGTTCCCGACCTTCTGAACTGGGCGAAAATGACTTGACAGAATTCTCCTTTCACCCCAAAATCTGACAGTAAAAGAAAACATCAACACCGCCCCAGACTTTCCTGGTCTCTTGCTATAATTACAAACAATATTAAAAAAGATACCCACGAGTCACGTACGTAATAAGTCTTGAGAAGCTACCTGTCGTCTAGCTAGTCCAAAAGTGACTGTCGCAACGTCCAGGCACTGGTCTATCCAACTGCTTCTAGGAGTGGATGCTTTTCCAGGAAAAGAAATTCGCTACCCTTAACTCGCTACCACACCGCAGAGTTGTACGGCAGGGTCTTTACAAACTTCGTATATTTGCATTTCCCATCGCAAAACACACAGCACTCATTACTTACAAGAACCTCCCCCCCCCCCAATCTTAAAGCTTGCGGCATTCCAGATCTTGACTTCGACGTAAGATCCGAGTGTGTGCTCCTGACTCCTAGTGCTAATCCTTCTTCGTCACTTCAATTCTGAAGAGAGAGAAATCGTGCAAGATGTGCTCCGTAAAAAGCTGTAATAGATTTTCTTTATTCAGCCTAATGTGAAAAAGAACCGATTCGTAAAAAACATCTTCATAAAATTTATTGATGGTGAATTTTCAACATATTAACGATTACAATGCACGTTACTTCGACACCAACACTTGCATTTAACATAAAAAGGGCGCATGTCTATTATATTCCATGAATTCCAGTCATCTAAAGACAACGGAGAATGGAAAATATTTTTCTTTTCGTGTCAGATAAAATCACGGAACTATGAGTTTATGTGAAATATTCTGAAATAAACCACCACATTTTCGAGGTCACACATACAGCATCTACGAAGCACCAACACACAAGAAGTGTCTTTGATAAACCAAACCAAAAGACGGATAATAATCCCGTGGGAAGCATTCCAACAGATAACACACCCAAGAATAAATATTGTTTCATAGACACGTATCTTTCGGGATATTTTTAAAACACTGTGAACGAACGATAATGAACTAACCTGTCCCAAATTAACTTACCACAATGAATGCACCGGAAGTCGTGATCCAGTGTGGTTTCGAGCAGTCCCGGTTCAATCTCGGTTCCAAAACCGGTTGTCCTAATTCAAAGTTTTCTTAATCACGCCACGCAAATGCTGAGAGAGACACAGACAGCTAGTTACCTTCAACATCCGCTACCATAGACGGTGCACAACCAGTGCAGTTGACAAACCGTCGTTAAATAAACAAAGGCACACATACATTTTCACAGTAGCCAATGTCGTAACCAGAGTACCAAGGTTTACTCACGCTATCAAAATCCGTATCCACCATGACTAGCGACTACGTAACGCAATCCAACACAGCAGATAAGCAACGCGATGTTCGACGCCTGTTTGTGGGCTACCCACTGTACAGGTATTTATCGCCTGACATACACAGATCCAATAAGGTATTCTAGAGGATTAAAATAAACGTCATTAAAGTTAACAGAAATGGTCATTTTCCACTGAAAAGTAAGGGCATGTGAGTTAAGACGCCTCGAGTCCGGCCGAAATCACACACAGGCAGAAACCCTCCGCGGTCCACGAAAATGCACGGAGTAAGAAAGTAACACCGCGGACTGGAACTGAACTTGTCACACTCTGGGTCCATCCGTGTCGTCCTCTCGTACACGGACGGGAACTGAGAAAATTAAATGATTTCGCTTCGTTCGGCCGAATCTGACAGCGCTAATATTAGCAGCAGATGGAGCTGTAGACCTGCCAAAGCGACGTTGAGGTTACAGCGGTGTTACGACCAGACGTACGAAGACTGACAATGAAAACCGCGTTAATGTTGATCCTGCATCACCGATGTTTCAGAGGTACATACTGCTTCCATTATGCTCCTCTGAAACGTCGGTAACACTGCGCACTTCCATGCGGTGTTAGCACCAAAAACCAGGATCAACATTAACACTGAAGACAACGCGTAAACATAAAAATCGATTAACTTACAATAACAAATCCAGATACGTGTGAGATTAAACTGGTCCAGAGACGGAACGCACAGTTGAATAAGATTAGGATCATCACTGTTATTGAAAAGCTGACTAATTCTTATGCTCCTGACAGCGATAAAGACCTCCGACGTCCGACGTCCCAGAACGGGACGACGTACCTACGTCACTTGAACATCGTACGAGGCGTTAACCAGTTTCGTAGGGGAGGACTACGTAATAAACTGACAATTACGTTAACTCCTGCGACCCACGAGTACTATAAACGCAGGCCTAATAATTTTCCCAAGTAACATCACTCGAGTTTCATCAAATGGCTACTAGATTCTTCTTAATCGTCTTTCGGCTAAAGTGGATTAAACTTTCAGAATTCGGAATTAAGAATCCTTTTAGGGGGCTCAGCCAGCAGTAAGGCATGTACCTAAGGTAACTCAGAAGACTGCACTGCACACATGGGCCCAGTGGGATTGAAACCCACGATCCCAATGTTTTAGCGGACAAGACCACGCCGACGATGGTGGGCTGCCACATTGATAATCAAACACTTGTATGATTAATATATTCTGCCTTAATTAGTGTCAAAAGTCGGGTACAACTCAGACAAAGAAGAAAGTAAACACGCTTGCCAAGCAATTCTCAGATGTTTCATTAATCTTACTACAAAACACAGAGAGGTAATAGACAGATACTGATATACCTGTCGACATGGAGTAAGGCACGGATGAAAGTGTTGTGAATGCGCAAAAGTGCAAAAAACACGCTGAATATCTTCGGTACGGCAGACAAACACCGTCCACATCCACAAACAAATTATTTAGATCAAGGAGTGACGTAGGTTGATCGAGCAGATCGGCCCTCCCGGCCTGCTCGCTGTTCACGTCTCGGAGACCGGCACCGACCAAACTTTGGTTCGAAGTCGAAAGCCACACAACCTTGTGGGCACAGGATAAGGAAACAGCTGGAGCCAGCGACGGGCAACATCACGTCATTCCAGTTTATAATGAACACAGCATCTGGACAAGAACGAATTATAAGGCAAGAATCACGCGTTCAATCACTTAAAACTTTAAAGTTCTCCTAATAGCAGAACGTTTTAATATGAAACTTAAGGCACTATTGAGAAACTACAGTCACAATGTAAATAAAAAAAGTGTGCCACATTCTAAAGCAGGGGTGGCCAACCCAAATGATCTTTCGGGACACTTTGGAAATGCATCATAACTCCGCGGGCCACATATAAAATTATATATCCCCATATTAGATTTAGATACACTATAGACATTTTTTTGGAGTGAAAAATTGAAACATAATGAGTTATTATTATTGTGTTTACTATTATTCTTACATGTAAACATAGATAATATAATAATAATGATACTAAGCGTACATTGTAAAGAAATATATAGCACTAAAAATTAAATATAAAAAATATATAAATATGAATGAAATAAAAATAATGAAATCCGGGCCACATGCGGCCCGCGGGTTGGCCACCCCTGTTCTAAAGGATAGTAATCTCTCTTTAAACTTCAGATTTTAGTAACAATTTATGTTAATGCATTAAAAATATCATTATTGAATTTATTCCTTTCTTGTTAATCGTTTTAATTTATACAACAGATTTTCTAAATTATTTTTTTAACTTTCGGTCCCCGGATAATCGGTAATCCATTGTACAGCAGGCGCTGAATGGTGGACAAAGTATTAGCTACCTTTCTGTGACAATACACACATCTTCAGTGCGACACCCCCACCCCCCAGATGCTACATTTCACAGACTTCACATTCAGTGTACCCAAAATTAGAAGCACAAGACAACATTCCACGATCACAAGAAATTTTAAACAGTTCTGATACCTTCATGGCCACTGATCCAAGAGTTTGTTGACGAACAATGTGTAATTCTCCTACCTTCGCCATTTGCGATAGTTGTCTTGTCTTCGACAAAAGGTTACAGCACAAACTTTTATGTTGTTTCGGTCTTGTACTAGTACATTCAATGCCAATGAAATCCCCTTTCGCTGAGATTCAACAAGCCCATAAACAAGTCCGAAACAATTCTCCCCTGCGTATCCAATCTCGAACCTTGTCTTCTCGCAGGCAAGGCTCAATTACAATGCCAGACCAAATTCTTTTCCGAAGGATGAAAAAGCTGCTGCCTGAACTCTCCGACGGATCATACCCACGGCGTCAACAACCTCAGTTTAAGTGGTATCTGCAATCTGATTCCCTTCTTGCTCAGACAAGGACACGTAAGCAAGCAGAACTCGAGTAAGGTCCTGATGCCACAAAGTTGTCCTTCCGGCAGAAGACAAACATGAATGTCGCGAAACTTGAGCGTTTTCCATTCCGTATCTCTAACATAAAGTCAACATTAATGAGTCAAAGCAGAATTCCTATTCACATTAACGACCAGAATCAGCGTAACTGGGGCAACCTATCTGAAATCCAAACACAACTAACTCCCTAATGCCCTTCGACATCCGTAAGAGCCAGAGAATTTCTTAACTGTTGACCGACTATTAACTTCACAAGGTCCCTCCCTGCTCCGTGGCGCCCCTCTCCCACGCAGTTCAGAAATTTCATCGCCAAAATTATGTCTCCTCTTAAACTGAACAGCGTAAAGGTGAGACTTCTATCAGCACAAATACGACAGTGACCTGTAATCGTGTTTCATTTAACTTCAGGCCACTCTGTTTTCCTTTCAAGTACAATACAGTCTGAAAAGAAACAAAAAGGAAAACGGGGTACAGGAGTACAGTCTGAACAATAAGAACAAACTACGACATTTGTACGTAATGTCCATGAAAGCGATTTTCAGTGGACGGAAGCTCTGGATATTAATTTTCCATTACACGGCTCTATATCAATATAATTCAGACCGCACGTGAAAA